GAATATCACGCGAGTGACTTCAGCAGCTCTTCTGACAGCGATGAGGATTACGCCCCCTAAAGATAGGGAGTAGGCATGAGAGGAAGTGCCTTAAAATTGAAGGTGCAAATCCGTCGTTTCAATTTGTATTGGAATTTGTAAGTATCAAAAGTACAAAAAGAGACGATAGTACAATAAAGGACGACGGTACAATAAGGGACGACAGTATATTAAGAGACGACAGTACAATAAGGGACGACGGTACAATAAGGGACGGACGATAGTACAATAAAAGACGACGGTAGTAGAATTGAGGGGGTAAGTACAACAGAGGACGATGGTACAATAAGGGACGATAGTACAATTAACCCCTTAGTTCCCGGCCTCAAATATGAGGGTATATTTTGACCTCGTCCCATATACAGATATAAAGGAATTTGTATGGGGTTTCAATTAAGTCCGGATATCTTGGCGCGGGTTCGGGGTGGTAACAACGACTTGCCAGTGTGTATAGTACGGATTCTCCAACATAAAGGAGGGTTTATGTAGTACATTGAGACGATCATATACAACTATGCTGTATAAATAAACATAAGATATGTACTGTTTATTGATTAGCCTATCTTTGTGCTGTTGCATACGTCCAGCAGCGGTAAGTTCATTTATTATAGCCAATAACAAGAAAGATCAAGTGCCGTATCAATTGATTGCTCCTTGCATAGACATGTACGACCAGACGGCGCAACCACTACGCCTCCTCCTCCACCGCTTCATCATCTTCTTCGCTCGACTCCCCAGCACCAGCACCAGCACTTGCTCCGCTCTCGCCTACCTGCTGTCTGCGTCTCCGCTTCTTGCTTGGCCGCGACGCTGGCGGTCGTTCACGTGTCCTGTGTTCTTGCAGTAGGTCGCGCGGGATGTCGTTGCCGTTGTTCCAATCAGCATGCCAAATGCTGAAGCACGTACTGACCCTGCCTTCACGCGGAACGTTGCATAGGTATTTACTTAATCAAAACGAGTTAGCCAAAGCTTACGGTAAGGATACCAAGCGAGCTACGCACCGTTTGTTCCCGTTCGAGCACTCCGGGCAGAAGTATTTCGTAAACTTGCGAGGCTTGACCTTGTAGATGGCACAGACTTTGCATGATCGGTGGCGTCGCTTCACACCCTGCTCGCAATCGACAGTATCTGGGTTTTCTTCTAAACAATGTCCGTCGATAGCTGACGATGCGCTTCCTTGTAGCTGTGTTGAATCTGCTCTTGCCGGCGAAGGGGCAGTTCTATCTTGCGCAGATGTCGCTTGCTGTTCCAATACAGTCAAGCCCACCATAAGTTAGTTGTTATGTTGGAAGGCTGCTGAAGCAGATGAGGTTATGTTGACTGGTCAACATTTGACTTACCTCAATCTTGTCAAACGCTTTGATTGAATCTACTGCCAGTAGCTGCTCCATCAATTTCTCAAAAAACGAGAAGTGTTTTGGCGGGCGCCTGTTGTTTACCTTTCGATAGTGTCGATGAACGATAAACGCGTTCACGAGCGCCATATCCAGAAGCCCCAGAAACAGAGTCTTGTAGTACTTGCGTGTTTTGTAGCAAAGTTGCACGCTGTAACGTAGCAACCGGAGTTGATCATGGACGTCGACTCCACCCATCCAGCGGTGGTAGTCGCGAACAAGCTCTGGAGCCGGCACCGGCGTCATTTCTCCGTGGATGCGTCTCACTAGAATACAAATACAATTAGTGCTAACACCCAAATGGGAACCCAATGCATGTAGTACGTACTCACGGTGCCGGTTTGGCGGCTGCCCCCACTTGAGAGCAGGTGCACCGGGTTACGGTCCATCCACATGGCAGCAGTTAGTTGCGGAAACATCTTGTTTTGAGCCAGCTTGATGGTACCTTGCGGAGGCACCAGTACCTCGCGCCTGTTCACCTTTTTTTTCTTTTTCGTAGTGATCACTCCAGCAGCGTAACCTGATCTATCCGTCTGTATCGTCCCCGTTAGATACATCCGATAATGAAGCAGCTCCAGCGCCAGCTTGACCGACGTGTAGAAACGGTCGGTGACGACTAATCTCCATGGAGACGTCGGTGACGGAGATAAGAGAGCTTTCATGTTTCGAAGTACAGCCGCTTCTCCAGTGTTGTTATCCTTTAGAACAGGAGTACGTAGATGTGGCTTCGCCCCGCAATAAATCTCAATTCTAGCAGGCAAACACATCAACAGAGACGATTATGTTAATATTATGTTGTATCAACAGATGGCGCAGGATTCTTATGTTGGACAAGTCAACATAAGTACTTGGGCCAAGAAAAAGGCAAGCCGAAGCTTGCCTCAAGTTACCTCATGCAGTACGCGGTCTTGGCACACGCAGCAACAAACACCTTCGTCCTTCACTTGTGGGGCTTGTCCTTGTTGAAGATCCTCATGGGATTGTATCGCGAGCGCGAAGGCAGTGTTGCTTCATCGAAGCTGATGACTGGGGGAGCTCTGTATCCACGAGCGAATGTTCGCTGTAGCACATCGAGCACCGGTCGAATCTTCCACGCTCGGTCCGTACGGGCTTGTGGCGACTTGTTGCTCGAAAAGTGTAGATATCCCATGATATGAAAAAAACGATTCTTTCCCATCACGAGACTGAAGCGGTTTGACGGTAGAACTCCAACTTTCTTCATTGACCAATGCGCTGCAATGCCTTCCGGATGGGGACTAACATACGTGCAATCAGCAATGCCATAACTTGAAGGACCTCGTAAGTTTGTATTTCTTCAGCTGCTGACAACCGCCGTCTGATCTCAGCAAGATCTTCTGCTTCGCCACCACTACGCTGTTGCTGTCTGCGAATTGAGCGGGTCCTCGTAGGGATTGACTGAGTATGATAGCGGTTGCTTTCGACAGCAATTTGGGACCAAATCTTCGGCGGCAGGAAATAAAAGAGCAATGCCAGCGGATCGTCCCCAAGGCGTAGCACGCTGTCACTTGGTCGGTATGGCCCATCATACAACCCAGCATACGTTGGGCCAGGTCCAAATTTAGTCGCGTCTAGATACAACACACAAGGACAAAAACTATGTTAGCCTTTATGTTAACTCAGAAACAAAATGAAAGGATTATCTTGGATTCGGCCAACATAACGTACCATACTCCCAGCCATCGGTACGCATTGCAGTGATCAGTGGTGCGTTATTCGCTGCGGATAACCACGCCGTGTTTGGAAGCTCCTCGATGTCGTGGTCCGAATCTTCATCTGTCAGCTCTCCAATGTCCCAGTCACCGTCCCAACTATCGTCATCAGCATCCTCTTCGTCTCCAGGTTCCTCACGAAGCTCTGGGTCCTCGTCGGAGTTGAGCCCGGTGCATTCGTCAGCTCCTTCGTCCATAAAGTTAGGGTCTGTGTCAATAACACACGCAGGTACACTGTGCACAACGTCTGCTTCGTAAACACTCTCGTCTTCGTCACCTTGCATTCTCTGTTCACCATACATCACGTACGTTGGATATTATGTTAGACATGTTGTCAGCCACAATCCTTCTAGGTTGGATAAACGAACAAAACGCACCGTGTCATCGTCGCCATCGCTGTCTTCTTGTAGGAGAGCGCGGCGATGCTCTCTTGTCGGCACTTGAGTACTACGCTTTCGTTTTTCAGCACTGGAATCAGTAGTAGCTAACGCGATACCAGACTGTTGGGCAGGCAGCGCAGTCTCAGCGCTCAAAACCATGTCCGCGACGACTTCTGTCACCTCCGTCTCGTGGTCTGCTTCCACCTCCATCGCATCCGCTATCGCGGTTGTCTCTAACGTCTCCTTCGCTTCAGCAATCGTCTGGTTTCGCGAGCCCTCTTTTTCGCCCACCGTGTCTGCAACCTGAGCACTTGCTGAAGGAATATACAGACCTTTATACTGCGCCACCTCCATATCTGCCGTTGTGCGCTTGGCAGCCTTCTTCTTTGTTGCCTTCTTCGCCTTCGTCTGCCATGCTCCATCGCTGCCGCTCTTCTGCTCTGTCCGTCGAATGCGGCGCTCGTGACGCTCACTTAGCAGAGCCTCGCAACAGAGGCGCCTTTCTTGCTTGGTGAGGTGGTGACGCGGTGTATTGGGTGTCGGCGCAACCATGTTGCTATCGGCCGTCGTTTTGAAGAGTGAGGAGGTTGGTGGCTGGTGGCCACTCGCTCGATAGTGGGTGTGTACCTCCCTTTTCTAACTCATTCAACCAAACTAAACCTAAGCCTGTGCATGTGACCGTTTTACACTCATATCAATGACTTCATTTCACTATAGCGGGGAAAGGGGGGATATGGACCGTTGCCCCATACAAAATTCAGGTATAAGATTTGCTTATGTTGGACCTCCAACATAAAATAAAAGGTGCAGCAGAAGTGAATTAGGGTATACACCCCTTATGTTGGAAGATCCAACATAAAGAAACTAAGGGGTTAAGGCCGGTGGTACAACAAGAGACGACAGTATGGTATAGTCAGGGACGTCAGTACAATTAAGGACGATTGCACACCGCTACTTTACTGGCTTTCCTTCGGTTACGAACTGCTGCAAGGATCTTGTTGACGGTGAGCTCCTCGCCAATGAAGGTTGCGAAGTCCTTCTTGAACCTGTCTTGGTCATCGTCGTACTGCTCGCAAATGAACTCGGCGATGATCTTCATCCTGGAGAGACGCGAGCGATGAGCTTTTCGCTCACTCCCGCGCGATACTGGTGACAGTCCGGGTTCGCATTCCATTACTGATGAACATAGTCTTTCCACGACTTGGCGTCCGGAAGTTCAGACACTAGTGCTGTCGTATCCTATCCTGGCTTAAGATTAGCGGCCACTGGCACTTCAATATCGTCGTCACACAACTGTTCCTGGGTTGAACAAGGTGTATCGCTAATAGCCTTGACCATTTCATGCAGCCCTTGAAGCAGTGACTTCAGCTCTCGCAACTCGGTGTTAGAGGTATTAGTGTGCTCTTGTGCGGCGTCTGCTGATTCGATCGTATGCTGAGTATCCTGCATAGTCTCATCTAATAACTGTAAGCCTCCAAAGTCGATATCTCGTATACCTTCGAGAGTCGCGCTAGTGCACGACGTCGCGTCCGGAGCCAGCGAATCGCCCAGTTGGTTCTCTTCTCGATCCAGTACGTCGTCCAGCAGATATCTAGTTACTGTTTCGGACTTTTCGCTTGGTGCCCACCTTGCCCACCACTTCACGAGCTTCAGTGACCACCGTCGATCTTCAGGGGCAAACATGAACCGGTACTGTGCACCACCTCGACGGAAACAGTGGGATGTAAACCAAATCTGGTCACCAAGCACGTTTCGGCTGATTCCAGCGGCGTCAGCGCTAATGTTTAATACCTGAGTAAAGTTGCTATCTGACATTGGCGAGCCCCATTTTATTTCCACGTTAGCAAAAGAGCCACCGCTCGCTAAAACACCTGCTTCCCTCCTTCGCTTCTTGGATGTGCCGCGTGGTACATCCGTCAATGATGGAAACGCGTAGTCGCTGTCACGCCAGGTGTGGTGAAACTTCTTCCGCGCGTACGTAAACCATCTATCCAAGAAAGTCAATGCTTCAGCTGCCCGTTCTTCCTTCGTGAGATGATGGAGTGAGTAGGTTCGACTTGCAAGGGGATCATGATCTGTCTTCCGGTCACGAATAGTGAAACAGCCAAACTCGATGTCGCTGTCATTAACGCGCGATTTGCGTTTGAGACCAAGCTGAATGTCGCCCTTCTTCATGAACAAGACTTCGTTGATACGGCACATACCATTGAAGCTGAGAGAACAAACCGCAGAAAACCACAGCCGCATGGTTTCGTTGAACATCGAATTCGACTCCAAGAATGTAATGACCTTCATCAGCATCAACAGGGACATCGGGGACGCACGCTTTGGAGTCCGCTCGCGCTTCTTGGATTTGCTGAGACCGGCGAGAATTCGCGTGATGGCTGCTGTTCGTGCCGGGTTGCCTCGAGGTGCTGGGGTGCCGTCCGTAGAAGTCTCAACAACCCAACGATCGTGTGGGTGGCCACCGGCTAGCATCTCAGGCTTCGTGTAGTGCCAGCTAAGCGCAGCGCGAAGGTTTTCAGCGAGCCATTGAGTTGAGTTGGAGGTTTCGAGTAAGTTGATGTACGCGGCCACCACACCGGGCAGCTCCACAAATCCTTTCTTCAGTGGGTCTGGGTAGCCTTCAATTTTGCAGAACGCTGAGAATCGTCGAAGACTGCTGCTGTAGTCGCTACGCGTCCTGCTCTCGAGTCTTTGATCCGCAAACCGGGCTGCAGCGATAGCAGCTTGGTAGGGTCGACTTGTGGTTGGCAGGTCCATTAGCGCCTTCGTCACGTGTTGGTCTTAGCAGCAAAAGGTGGAATGAAGATCTCTTTCATTCGGAGGATGGTCTCGGGTATCCGTCGTCCCTTATTGTACCCAAAATGTCGACCTTTATAGTCCTGTGCCTCAAATGCAAACGCATGGTGCTGACATATGAGTTTTGCAGTAAATCAATGACTTTTCAGTTTTTTTTTTTTTACCAATCAAGGCACATCGCAAGGTCATTTATTGTGCTCGCACCAGTGGGAGAAGTGTGAAGCTGCACATATCCAGCTTCCAGAGGTTCGTTAAGCGCATCACTTATTAATGGATCCTTTTCCGACCTCACTTAAGAAGGTTTGTTTTTTTTCTTTTTTTCTGGTTAGGAGTTGTAAGCTTGAAAATCATTGCTCGCACCGGTGGAGACGCTCTAAAGATCTCTATTATTATTAATAATATCTGTTCTAACAAAAAAAAGCGACCAGTATCATCGTGCATATTCGTTCATGAAGCATCGTGCCATTGATAACCTCCATTTATCAGGGTTGGTCGGGCCAAACGTAGCTCCACAGCAAGTTGTTGCGTGAAGTCGAAACCACTGAAAAGGCGAATTAATGGTGTAGCTTAGTACGCTTTTCAACCGCCCAAGTTGATATTATAGAAATGATGCCCACCCCTGGCTGCTTGTTTTGCTACAACCCGCGCCAGGAATCCCGCGCGCTATTGCATCACCATTGGGGCAGCAACTTTACCTGGACAGGCGAACCGACAGGCGCCGCATGTTTCGCTCACGTCGATGAAGACACGAAAGTGATTCGTGCGCTACAAGTGTCCATCCAAGATAATCAAGATCCGCTTAAAGTGATGGCTACCCCAGACAGTTTGACTTTTCCTCGCGGTGATCGCGTCGAAGAAGCTTCCAAGCTCATGTACACTCGTCCAATTGAGACTGACTAAAAGGGTTAATTTTTGCCACGTAGATCCGTATGCTGGCTAATTAATGGAAGAAAAAAAAACTCACAAACATTTTCCCGTACTCAAGTTTGAAGGCTTTTTGAGATCCAATGATTAAATTCGGACCTTAGCATTCATAAAAGATCATAAACACTAGACTATACATTATTACAGGTGTAAACTTACCGCGTGATCAGAACTGCAACTGCTCTCACGACGGACGACACTCCCGCTGTTCGGCAAAGTTGCATTGCGGTGGTGATTGGATGTCACAGAGAAATGGGGCAACAGTCGCTGAGGACAGGCCATACTGGGAGCAAGTGGGTTGTGGCCGCGAGCCGGTAGAGGCTGCGCACGCCACATGAGCCCAGAGAGCGCAGCGCCCTGCACCATCAAACTCTCGAGCCATTTCCAGTTTTGCGTCGCCTTTCCCCCCAAGAAGAAGCTTCCAAGCTACACCACCAGTCAGCTGAGAGCCCTCACTCTTGCTTCTGTTACACTCCCTTAATACTAAGGCACCATGGTGGCAACCCGCAAGGTTATCATCGGAGTGGGTGTCCTCGTGGTCATCGGCGTCATCGTCGGCATCATCGTGGCTGTCACGGGTGGCAGCGACGACAACGACGCCAATACAAGCAGCGGCGAGACCACGTCCAGCAGCTCCGGCTCGGGCAAGGGAGCGTCCTCTAGCAAAAAATCGAGCAATGTGTCCGAATCGGACCTACTAACCAATTCGACAGCCAGTGGCAGTGGCTCGGGCAACAAGGAGCCTGACAGTGACCCCGAAAAGGCCAAGGCAGCACTAACTATGCTCGCTATCGGTGACTGGGGTGCCACGACCGACAAGCCCGGCTCGTGCTGCAACAAGTACCGTAAAGTAGCCAACGACTCGCTTGAGATGAAGATCGACTATTGGGCCCAGATCAACATTGCTGAGATCTTGGCTAAAGCCGCCGGTGACATCAAGCCGTCGCGTATCATTGGCCACGGCGACAACATTTACTGGAACGGTGCCGGTCCGGACGACATTGACTACCGTATGGAGTCCACATTCGAGAGTGTGTACGACCAGCCGGAGCTCGAGGGAATCCCATGGATCAACGTTGTGGGCAACCACGATCTTGGTGGCTCTGAGTACATTTGCGGTGACAAGGACTACAACTTCCGTGAGTGCGAGAGCACCGATGAGATGCTCAAGTACTTGAACCTCAAGTTCTCTTTGCAACAGGAGTACAAGAGTGCCAACAGTGACCGTTGGAAACTCTCGGACCACTACTATGTTGAGAGTGTCGAGGAGAACGGCGTGTCGGTTGATATCTTCAATATCGACACGAACTATGCTGACTCGCACGGTGTCATGCAGATCTGTTGCCAATGCTACGGATACGTGAAGAAGCAGAAACTGAGCGAAGCGGAGGCAAAGAAACTTGGCAACACATGCAATGATCGCACCCCTGGTGACGAGCTGTGTGCTGGTGGCAGCACCGAGATGTACAATGCCTGTGCTGATACCATCAAAAAGTGGTGGGACGACTCTCTTGAGCAGGTCAAGAAGGACTTGGAGGCGTCCACTGCGACATGGAAGATCATCAACTCGCACTACTCTCCACACTTCCACATGAGCGAAGACAAGATGAAGGAGTGGTTCATGATCACCAAGGAATATGGCGCTCATGCCTGGTTCAACGGCCACACGCACGGCTTCAACCACGACATCAGTAACTGGGGCACTCACTTCTACGAGAACGGCGGTGGCGGCGGCATCCAGTCCGAGACGTCGGGTCTGCCGCCTGAGGTTGCCGAGAAGTACGTGGAGCACGCGTGGATTGCCGCTGGTAACCCGTACGGTTTCTTCATGTTGCACTTCTCCGAGGACTGGATGAAGACCGAGTTCGTGACATTCGATGACGCGTGGACGTTCAGTGTCAAGAAGGACGAGATCGTCAAGGGAGGATACCAGAAGGGCCACTGCTGGCATGTACCTGTCACCGTCGGTGCCGGTAAGGAGTGCACGTCGAGCAAGAGCACAGTATAAACTCGCTTAATTTTTCTCCTTTTTCCAGACACATCTAGGAGCTGTAAATATATGTAGACTTTCTACGTCTCATCATTGTTTTGCTAGCTAGAGTGCTCCTGAGTTAAATACTAGTCGACAGGAGATTATCCAACTCCTGGAGCTCCTAATCTATCGACTTCGCTTGACTCGGATGTCACTGTTTGAAGACTCGGATGTCACTGTTTGAAGACCGTCTCGAGTCACCACACCCGGATCCAACAGCGTTCTGTTTACTGGAGTAGTGCTGGCGCATGGTTGTTGTAGTTTCTGGTCTTGCCCCTGCAGACCCACGTCGATTGGGTTTGCAATACCCGAAGGCTCACCAGGGATCGTCTTGTCGACCAATGGTGGATGAAGACTTGCTGGTTCATAACCATTAGCCCCATGGCCATTTGTAGCTTGTTTGTCTAAGTTCTCGTCGACTTTGCCGCCCCCTGGTTGTACTTGTGTCTGGTTGTTCGGTGGGGAGTGAGTCTGTTGAGTACATGTATGTTCGCGGTTCCCTTGCCGCTCTTCTCGTGTCTCTTGACTATTCTTCGCCTTCTCCATCTTAAGTGCATCATAGTCTACTTCCAGTTTGTCCACCTGCTTGTGTAGTTTTTCAACCTGCTGTTGCAAGTCCTCTGCCTTCTGTCTCCATGATTCTTTGTCGGCTACAGCCTTCGCCACGTACTCTTCCGCTTGAGCACGTAGCGACGCTCTCTCCTCTTCAAATTGGTGCCTCAACTGCATCTCCGTATTGTTTACGTATTGCCTCGCTTCCTGCATAATCGTCCCATGTACACGTCCAAACTCGGCGATCCTCTTCAGTTGTTCATCTACAGCAAAAATTCACTGTCAGGGCCCCATTAATTGGAGAATTAATGCCCAAAACACAGCAAGCTCACTTGTAAAATGATCTTCTACGTGAATAAGCACTCTCTGCTGCCACTTTTCGAGCTCAGCTGCTGAGATTGTTATCATTTCCTCTTGCTCTTCCTGCTCCTCGTCTTCTTTCTCTTCGTCACTTGAATCATCGCGTCTACTGACCATTACATCGTCTCCACTGCTACGTCGTTTGCGTCGGTTCTTGTGTCGTCGCTCTCTGTACTCCCGTCCAATGGGAAGCGCTGTGTGCAGGATCTGGACCGGAGGCAGACTGTCAGACGATGACTCTGAGTCCATAACGGTCGGCTTTTGCTGGATGAACGCCGAACCGCGCAGCGAGGACGAGCCAAGAAGATTTGAGGCATGCGACGACGACCTTGCGGCTTGCGGATGCCGGTTAATGCTCTTGTTGCGAGTCACAGGCGATCTCTTCCGGCCCATTGATGCTCGAAATATTGAATTTTGATCACTTTTGCAGAATGATTGGTGGAAAAGATGAGAAAGGTATCACCGCATTGGCTACTCTAGTTTATAAGCGCTGTCACTTAACGGAGCTGCTGCAGGATACGCGCTGTGGAGGACGACTGAAGTAAGATTTGGATACGTTGAAGTGATTGAAGTCTGATTTAATACGGCGCTTACCTGCGAGGACGGCGGCGCCGAAGCCATTGTCGATGTTAACGACGCCGACGCCAGGAGAACACGCGTTGAGCATCGTTAGCAGCGGTGCCAGGCCGCCAAACGCTGCACCGTATCCGACGCTCGTAGGGACTGCAACCACTGGAGAAGACGTGAGGCCTCCCTGCCATGAGCATTGAGCAAAACGTTGGTAAGTTGTTAGACATCTTGGACGTCCTAAAAAATAGTGGCGGGTGACGTACCACAACACCAGGCAGAGCGCCATCCATCCCAGCAACGCAAATGGCGACGTCCGATGCTCGCAGAATGTGCTGGTTGCGCAACAAGCGATGAATTCCAGCTACACCCACGTCATACAATCGGGTGACTCGGTAGTCGGCCAGCTCTATCGATTACATGGAATACGGTCAGTTTGCCAACGGCGAATATTCATTCCAAGTTAAGTTCTCACCAAGTGTGACAGCGGCTTCTTCTGCGACGGGAAGATCGGAAGTGCCGGCACAGAGCACACATGCAGTGGGGGTGTCCTGCAACGCGTTGCACAATAAATGACACGAGGTGAGACACAAACTCACGATCGGTTTGATCAGATTACAGCCAATACCTTTTCCTCTTCTTCCGTTTTCTTCGGTGTATTCTCCAGCGATTTCGATGTCAAAATCCGTGGCACCTCGTAGTACGTCAAATGATGACCCTGTAAAACACAACAATCATCATCAAGACTCTTTATCCCAGCAATCGGAGGCCATCTTTGACGCACGGGAATCAGAGCGCGGATCTCGTCAGCAGCTTGCCGTGTAACGCGTGAAGCCATCACATTGTCTTCGCCTCCGTCAATCATGACTTTCATGATAGCTGCCACTTGCTCCGAGGTCTTGCTCTCAGCATACACCACTTCTGGGAAACCCGTACGTGCCTCTCGTTTTGTGTCAATCTTTGCAAAATCTCCCACTGCCTCATATTCAGCTGTAGGGCCGCAGAGCTCCGCCGCATCTTGAGGTGATACTTCTCCATCTGCCACGCGCTGAAGCAGTTCCAGGATTGGCTTTTTGTCCTTCAAGTGCGCGTTCGACGAAGTAGACAACCCCGCAATCTGAACTTTAGGAATAACGGATTCTATGGTTATAGTTGCGGCTGCAACACGCAGCAACGCGTGGCGATGAGAGCGCAGAACACCAACGAGATTCATGATCGATCGGTCTTGAAAATGTCCGACTATCCAAATTACGTTAAACGCTACTGCAAAATTTGTAGGTTCACTTTACAACAGTGTTATTTTTCCACTAGATGTGATTTTTTTTACGGAAAATGTAGAGCCCATGTTTTTATCACCATGTTTAAAACTGTTATGTATCCATGTGTGACCATGTTTGTAATTTAAAAAAATCCACTCGGTAAATTACGAATCGCACAGCCACTCATTCTGCCACGTGACGCACCTCCCACCGCCGCTAACGAAGCTCTGTTGCCCCTGCCAGGCTGCCCAGCCTGCCGAACTTCAGGTAGTGTCTCCCCGCAGACGCATGTACTTATCGCGTCTCGTGGTCAACGATGTCTAACGCTGCTTGCCGTTTTCAATGCTATTATTGCTGTATGTGCACCAGACCCGCATTTTCTCAGAAGCCCCGGGGCTTCAAACCTCAGCCACTCTCCCAGAACACGCCCCCCCCCACTCTCCCAGAACACGCCCCCCCCCTCCTCCCGTGCTATACTGGTACGTCGTGTGTCATGCGTGTACGTCGAATGCTATGGAAGCTAACTATTATTGCGTGGATCTAACAGTAACACGTGTGAGGTTACGGAACAAGACACGCGCCGCAAGCACGTGGACAACGAGGGCAGGTTGTGCTGCATACACTGAAGCGATCACGTATGTGTACATGCATTGAAGAAAACATGGACTCCATGTTTCCCGTGTTTATCCCATGACCTTACAATGTTTGCTGTGAATATGCTTGGTGTCTGCTAGAACAATGGTCCGTACGAGCAAGACTGCAAGTATACTTCGAGCCATGGCAGTTTCCTGCAGCAGCAGCAGCGACGACGCCGAGGCGGACTCTGGTTCGTCCGTGCAGAGTGACGTGGGCGTAAGTTCAAGTGTTATCAATAACGGCATACAAGCAGCTCAAGCCACGGACGCGCTTGACGAATACACCGTTGCTGATCTGGAAACAGCACGTCACGGTGATGCTGCGCAATCTGAAGAATCACTGCGTTCATCAGATGATGTGGAAGGCGCGGCTGGTGACACACTTAATGAAGAAGAGAGTGATACTTCTGGAACAAGCACAAGTACGCGATCGCGAAAGAGGACACTAATGGAGAGCAACGTGGAGCTCGAGTACGTCCCATCTTTGACACCGTTTCACAAGAATTGGAAGCGTTTCAAGGAATATCTAGCGCAGTACCAGAAAGACACTTCGACAGTACTGGTCGTGTCAGAAACGCTGAACGTTCGCTTACGCAATCAACAGATTAAGAAAATGAAATCTTTTGCCGGGAAAGCCGAGTCCGACATGCCGCTCGTCCCTGATTCCATGGACCCGTATCAGAGGGTGTATATCTGCACTCATGGTTGGAGGAATCGCGTGCGTTCGAAAGGCGTGCGCCCTTCGCATAGCGTGAACGCAACGGAGTGCAAAGTACGGTTTGTGGCGCAAGTGGTGAAGAAAGCAGACAAGGAGTGGAGAGTCCAAGTGAAGCTGGCATTCTACGGACACAACCACCCTGTATCCGAGGATATATACCAGTCGTATCCGAAGGTCCGCCAACTACCTGCAAGCTCGCCCGTTATGCGTGATGTGGAGCTTATGGTTGCCAGCGGCAGCAAATCCAGCCGCTTGTACGATTACATCCGTACCAATTCGCCACACCGTATGCAAATGCAGGACGTGTACAACCTTGTTGCCAAGATAAAGAAGTCGGGTGCGTAGTATCTCAATGTGGACTTTGTATTCGAGCGTGGCTAACAATCGGTTTTGTAGGCAGCACGCTATCCGACGAAGACCAAGTAGCAGAATTGCTGTTACAGTTTGGCATGGCGGCAGGGAGCAACGTGACGAATGTAGAAGTAAATTGTCGGGGGCACACGGCCGTGGTCTCTATCTGCTCGCAGCACATGCGCAAGTTGTACAAACGCTTTCCAGAGCTGCTTCTAGTTGACTGTACGCACAAGACCAACCGGTACGACACCCAACCATGTTTGACCATGTTTGGACCAGGTATTTATCATGTTTGAATGCATGGTGGATACATGTTACCCTATTCTGGCCATGTATTAACTGTGAAATGTGTATTTTATGTAGATACAACTACCAGCTGTGTACATTTATGGTCATGGACCAGTTTGGAAACGGACAAGCTGTTCAGCACTCTGTGATCGAGCGCAATGCTGACTGGCATATGCTCAAGCTGATCGAGCATTTCCAAGCTGTGAACGATTGGGACGAGACTCTAGTAATCATGGTCGACAAGGACCTGAATGAGATTGCCGTTCTGAAAGAGATGTTTCCTACGGCGCGAATTTTGTTGTGCCATTTTCACGTGATCAAGTGGCTACGTGGCGCTATTCAACTTGACAAAAAGTACGGAACGTACCCGAGCGCTTTATTGCAGCAGTTGGATTTCTGTGTGGCGAACATGGTATACGCAAGGACGGAGGAGGACCTAAAGAATAATGCAGAAGAATTCAAGACTCTAGCTTGCCGAGATGGTCAAACCGCTCTGTGGGAGTACTTCGAGACTAATTGGATGTCGTGCTTCGAGATGTGGGTCATGATGCATCGGATGGATCTTCCCCATTTCCGCAACAATACGAATAACCGACTGGAGAATTTCTTTGGTAAACTGAAGGTCGATCTGGACAGCTCGATGAACATGAAGCAGTGTCTCGAGGCTGTGATTTCGTACCAACGGCGCCGCGAAGACGAGTACATGGCGCGTGTAAGTAAGCCTGGCACCCAGCGCAATATAAACTACGGAGAAGAAATGAACCAGCTTCTTGGAATGACAAGCGAGTGGTTAGCTGGTGTGTTTTTGACGGAGTACAACTTTGCCGTTGACTCCGATAATCAACGCAGTCATACTATTGACGACCAGCCGCTGTACGTCACACTGACTCGCGATGATCGGTCCCACCGCGTGGACAAGTTCGATTGGAGGTGTACTTGCGAGTTCTCGTCTACGATGAAGCTACCTTTGTCGACATGGGATGATCTATCGAAAACATCATGCCGCACTACTCACAATTCCGTACGCTTCAATTCCGGCCATGTACTTGCCATGTTTAACACCATGTTAACCACGTTTTTCAAGAATTTAATAACCATGGTTGTATCATGTTTATCCAATGTTTATATGATGTAGATGGCTTCGAGTAGGAACCGTGGACTGTGATCTACCCTCTATTGATGTACCTCTACAGATTCACGCAGAAGGGGACCACGTCGCTCACAAGAAACAGATGACAGAGCGCAACAAGTACAAATGCGTTCAGAGTGTTTTCAGTCTTCTCACGTCGGAGCTCACTGGCCTACCTGACGCTAAGTTCACTGCCGCGCTGGACCATCTAGAGAGCTGGTGTGATAATTTGCGACAAGGAAACGTAGCTCTACCTCTCACGCAGTCCGGTACATCTGATTCTGAGCTCCTCCCAACTCAAGTCGCAGTATCCGAACCGGAATCTCACAATGAAGGGAAGGGCAGTAGTGTTCATGTTGCCGAGACCCAAGGAATAACTGCCGATTCGATGTCAGCGGATCCTAAGCCTGAAGTGAACTTACAGAAACGCGCGAAGAAAGCAGCAAGAAAAGCCACGCCTAAAATCAACCAATTTAATCCACGAGCGCCAAAACTGGGCCGTCCTCGAAAGAATCGAGCTGCACAAGACGCTCAGCGAAACGCCGACAGGAAGGAATACAACAAGGGGGCAAAGTTACGGAATGCGTTGCGAGCAGACGACGTAGTGCATGTCGAGGAGTTCCTGAAGAGCAGTCAGCCGTCGCTGATGGAGCTAAGCTCGTATTTGAACACTTTTGAGACGCGACACTTCGGGCGCAAGGAGAGAAACATCACAGTCACGAAGCGAACCCCTCCTGAAGATAGCGTGCCGTACCGTCTTCCCGAGGCTATGGTACAGAAAGCGCTAGCAGATATTGAACGCAGGACACCCTACGGTGAAGTTATGGATCTCAGTACGCCGATGGACGCAAGCGTAGAATGCTGGGTAGCAGACATAGATGGTGTGGGTGTGTTTACACAACGCCAGCTGATGGCGATGCAATTTTTGTGGAGCTTCTCTGCAGCATGCGCGAACGGCTTAAAATGCTACTCATGGCTGATGGGTAAGGTGGACATACTCTTTGACAATGACCAAGCCGCTTTGTTGGCTAAACGAATGATTGAAACATGGCCTGGTCAGCGCCTTCCGGGATTCGACCAGGGCTTTCACTTGGACTGGACGCATTTGTACTGTGCTCGAGATGGCTGCTGGCTCAACGACAATTTAATTCAAGCCTTCTCGGCGACGCTGTCGGCCAAGTACGGTGCCAGCACTACAATTTTCCTACCGCAGCTTAAAACACCGGCAAAAGATAAGGGCCATCGAATCCCACCACTGACGTTAAGTCTTGTAGCAGCTACGAACATGGAATGGGTGTTCATGCCGCTGAACGTCAATGCCAGTCATTGGACATGCCTCGCTGTGAACCAGCTTCAAAAAACCATTTACTGCTACGACAGTCTCGACAAACGCGCCTATCATAACTTGCTGGAAGAGTTGGCGCAAGAGCTCGTGGTCCGGAGCATGACGGAGCCGTACGAGATAATAGCTGTGCACAACCCCATCCAGAACGACGGTGACAACTGCGGTCTGTTCGTATGCCTGTTTTTCTGGCGCCGCGTGTACAAGGAGGCACCCAGAGATTATTCGAAGACGGGTTGTCTACGCCAGCGGTGGGATCTCCTTCGCAGTGTGGTGGACTTTAGTGACTCCAGCAAAAACGCAGAGTAATTCGATGCTAAGTTTTGCAATACATGTTTACGTACCATGTTTTCCATGCTTGACATGTTTTAGTATCAGACACCTGAGATGGATACATTACGTAAGGTAGTTTCAACCCATGACGAATGTGGGGGTGAGGTGTCGCCGACAACACAGAATCCTCTTCACTCTTACTTTTTTACGTCGTACTGATAACATGTTTGGACATGTTACAAAACATGTGAAACATGTATAAGATAAAATACCGGACCTTCGTCATTTATTCCCAGAAAACATGGATGGCACCTGGAAATGTATCCATGATCACCATTGTTTCGATACCTAACCCTTTTTAAAAACATGGGCTGTATCGCCAGCCTTTTTTTTAACGGCGGCTGTTGGAGGCCAGGATTAATTACATGGGTCTGTACACGACTGAGGCCAGGATTAATCATGGACATGATTATCGTACTTAAGTGATGATCATATGGGAAAGATACGGTAAGATTCGAAGATTCACAATGTGGGGCTGTGCGTAATCCAGATTTAATAGTATACCGTCACAGGATTGCTGCTGGGAGTGAGATCGACGAGGAACCGATGAGGAAGAAAGCTTGGAGTCTTGCAGAAGTAGCAAAAGAGAAAGTGGTTGTATTTGTCCCATATAAGATGTGACAAGTAACGGTTGGTGATGAGGGTTCTCAGCCCTCCCTGCATCTCAACTTCTTCAGTCTTCAATTGTGGACTGGCGAGATCGCTTGGCAACGAACTCGGTTACGGGTCAGGACTTGGATGACATGATAAATTTGTCGCGACCAAATAAGGAATTTCATTTGCCCAAGACATGCTTACTGTAGGAAATTGTGGATTCAACACGTCATCGTCTCATTATTATTGGAGCGCCTCATGGTCAAAAGAAAGGTGTGTTCCACGCTATCAGCCGCGTAAAATTGCTGACCGATTTTGGTTGATTGATCATGATACGTGGGGCCAGTACAAGTGCACCGAGAAGAATCTACAATTGCTGTTCCAACAAATTAAGAAGGTATACGCCATTGAACAGAGTCTTCATCTAAAGAAGAAGGAAGCCCTTAAGGTGACACAGTGAATGTGAGTATTATTTCTCCTTCTTCTTCTTCTTCTTTTTCGTGTCGTAATGTTTGCTATAATGTACAGGATTAATCCTGCAGTCGTCCAGAATCCTATCCAGGATTAATACTTTGTCACTCAAAGCATAGCTCGCTGTGTTACTACAGTACTCGTTCCCATGTTAGACCTCAGAACATGGTTATGGTAGGTGTCTGGCGATTAAATATGTATTAGATGGTGTTAAACCTACGTTGCGTATAACTTTCTTTTCGTCTTGCTCTTCACTGCACAGGTTGTGTGGGTACATGTAGTACCTCGCTCTTGGCGTCGTCAGCCACTGCAGATCTCTGCGTAGGTGGAACTTTGTCCTCTGCATCGTCCTCTCCAGCATATCTTGGGGCTGGTGCTTTCTCCTCCGTGTCGTCGTCTTCCGTAGTGTCACGTGAAATGGGCGTAGTTGGATCAGTACGAACCTCTCGTCAATCATGGTTCAGGGAATAACAGGCCCATTTACGTTGGTGTGCTTGCGATATGCGATTGCGTGTCTACAAGGCAAACTCATCGACGCTGCAAACTCGCAGTTGCATATCTACTCATCGATTCGAAGAATATGGATCTTAAATGATCCACGGACTTTGACGACTTTCAATTCCCCGGGATCTTTCTCGAATTTGTAACGTAATGTATTCTCCAATCCGAGTGTGTATTGCCGCTCTATCTGTTGAGCCACATAGTGAGTAGTGAAACGCAGAACCGTCGACATTTCCTCGTCATAATTTGAGTTGCTGAAACGACCTATTCGAGTTAGCCGGTATTTGCAGTCGTTCTGTTTCCGCCGATCAAAAGCAACCTATGCCTTGATACAATTCGCCATCGTCATAGAACTGTCGATACCTTCTTTCAGTTTGCCAAAGTAACTCTCCAGTCTGTTGTTGGTGTGATTGTTGAAGTGGGGAAGCGTAGCACGAAGATATAACACCCAACGCTCTGTGCATGAGTGCCAATTCTTCTCGAAATACTTGAAAAAACGATCCATACTACATCTTTCGCAAATGCCCTTTAGAGAATCGTGTGCATCTTCGTATTCTTGTTCACTGGACGCGTATACCATCTTATGAACTGCAGCGTCTATTTGGCTAGCGTCGTCTGATGAAATCTTCCCGAACTCTGGCTTCGAGCGCATCTCCTTGAGATACTTAAAACCTTGAAAGTGACATATCAGGATCCTGGCCTCAGGGAAATTCGCCTCCAACACGCGTATCTCGTTTAAATCCTTATCCACGACTATCACGCGCAGTAAGTTGATGCGCGTAGGGTGAAATCGTTTAAAATGATCAATGGCTCGTTCCATATGCCAGTCTCCCTTTGCTTCGATCAGAGACTGTTGAACTACTGCACCCTCGCCAAATTCGTTCATTCCCATGAATGTTAGTAGTTGGTAGTTATACCTACATCATTATCATGAACACATACACGTATCAGTCCTGTTTAAATCCAAGGTCATTACCCTTCACATTACACAGACGTACCTATTCGTTTTGTGACTGCAATCAACTAGCAAGACCTCGCAGAAACGCGCAAACACGCGCCGCATGTGCGCACTTGCAATCGATATAACTCCTGTCTCACCACAATCCGTGTCGGCCACTGACGAAAGGTTCTCATTATCAACTGCAGCAAACAATGCGAGCTCCCTAGCAGTTCCCTCGTTATCGTCAACGTCCGTTGTGGAAGGAGAATAATCACGCACCAGATTGTCTACGTCCGCCTGCACCACATTCTCGTCGTGCTCCAAGAGGTAGTCGTAAATCTTAGAGCGCTTGGCTCCAACCTCGAGCATACCCTGAACACGCGCTCCTACCAGCGGGTCAAACACTCCACGCGACGATGATAACGTCGCGAAAGCTGCGGGCGAGACTTGATGGTTGTGTAACCAGACACCATTCTTCACCTGAAGCTCTCGACGCGCCAAATTCCACTGTACCACGAATCTGAAGGGACAGTTTGTCAGCCGGATGTGCTGACGCGGACGGCTGCCCTCACTGCGCGACTTTCTCTTTTTCCAGCCGTACGTACAGATGTACGTGCGTTGATACGGGTCAAACTCATTCGGGACCAGCTGATCGTCATCCACACCTTTCTTCGTCTTCTTTAGACGCTTGTTCCTTTCAGCGCAAGACATCGTCTCCTTCACGGGGATGACTTGCATCGAACGTCGGCAGTAGTCGACGAAGTAGTTCTGCCACGATTCCCAATTAGCGTGGTATTTGACCGGCGGGTTCACGGGCACACTCGCAGCGTCGGTGCTCTGGCTTCCAGGTTTTTCACTATAACCATCCGTTTCTGAAGACCGCACAGCCTCCGTATTTCGCTCATCTTCTACATCCATGTGGGCGCCCGCCTTTACATTCATGATAGTGCTTCCGGGGTCCTGTGTCTGGCTGATAAGGCTTCCTCCGGGCTCTACAGTCCCTTTCGCGTCAACTCCAGCGCTTCTCCGGCACTTCTCACCTCCAGACTCCGCAATAACTTGCGCGTTCGCGACCGCATACACTCCACACAGAGGAGATTCTTCACGCAAGCCTTCCTGCGCAGGCGCGACGTCCGCGTCTTGCGGAACAGCATCGCCGGCGTCCCTCGACATCTGACCGGCAAACGGCAGAAACAAATATGAAACCTTCCGAATTTATTATGATCGGAAATAGCGAGTTTGAAAAGAATTTTATTTTGCAATCCTGGACATGTACAGGATTATAACATGTATAGTTCCATGTAAATAATCATGGCCTCCAACGGTTTCGTTTTTTAATTAGTAATTACACAAGATGTATTTTTATTTTTTCGTAAGAAATAAAAAGTTAACTTAAAAAAAAGTAAGCATTTTTGTGCTTTTTTTTAACGAGATGACTTCTTTTAACAAAAAAAAAAAGTCACATCTAGTGAAAAATAAAAAACTTTATAATGTTGGCGTTGGGTTAAACCAACACCCAAAAATCCTCAACAACGCTGGTCAAGGACTTCCACGATGACGTGCTCCCGCTGCTTGGACTTAGAGCATAAACTGGCAGAGCTCCGGGCGCAGAATGCTCAGCTGCAATATCAGCTGGAAGCGTTCCAGAGCCCGGAAAAGGTGCCTGCAGAAGACCAACAGGGCGACAATGGGGAGGAGTTATCGGATACTCTGACGTATTCACCCTTTTCGAGGGTAGAGCTGCAGCGCTATGGACGACAGATGCTAGTCAAAGCATTCGGGTTCAAGGCGCAACTTACGCTGCGCTCAGCGCGAGTCCTGATGATTGGCGTCGGAGGCCTCGGGTCGCCTGCATCGATGTATCTGGCTGCCATGGGTGTGGGCACGTTGGCTATTGTGGATGATGATACCGTCGACCGAAGCAACCTGCATCGTCAAATACTGCACGATGAACAGGGGGCGAGAAAGCGAGAAAAGAAAGTGGAATCGGCCAAGAGAAGATTGCAAGAGCTAAACCCTTTGCTGAAATGTGTGGTCTATCCGACAGGGTTTACTCCTACGAACGCGTTTAAACTTGTCGGGGACTACGACGTGGTAGTTGATGCCTCAGATAATGTCGGCACTCGATATCTTGCTAACGACGTGTGTGCTCGACTGCATAAACCATTGGTGTCTGGCAGCGCTTTGGGCCTGGAGGGACAGGTGACGGTGTTCACTTATAAGGACGATGCGAACGCTACTGGATGTTATCGATGTTTGTATCCGACGCCACCACGAGTTGCTATGAGCTGTGCGGAAAACGGTGTTGTCGGTGTTGTGCCCGGCGTAATCGGCTGCCTGCAGGCTATGGAGACGGTCAAGATCATCACCGGGATCGGAGAACCTCTTGTCGGTGTACAGTGCTTTTACGACGCGTACGACGGACAGTTCCGGCGCCTAAAAATTGGCAAAAAGCGGAATCCAGATTGTCCGTCCTGTGGAGGACAAGCTTCTGAGCCTGAAAAGCAAGACGTAGTCTCTACAAGCCCCTCGCTACAAGTCGAAGGCAGTTGCTCGGATGGAACCGCAGGTAGTGATGATCTCGACCCACACTTCCGCGTTAGTGCTGCAGAATTTGCTAATATACGCAAAGCTGCATTAACTGCAACAGAAGAGGAGGAGAGGAACGGTATTCAAAAGAGCTATGCTCTATTGGATACGCGCGCACATATTCAATTCGAGATGGTGCACTTCCCCGAGGCTGTGAACATTCCGACCGCCCAGCTCATGAAGCAAAATCCTATCCAAGTTATCACGAATTTGCATGGTGTGCCAACGAATGGTGCTGCCGAGGAGATATCGAAACGGACTTTTGTGATCTGCCGACGTGGCGTGGACTCTGTGAAGGTGACAAAATGGCTGGTTGGTGACGGTATCCAAAACGTATTCAACGTAGATGGAGGATACACCGAATACGCGAAGGATGGCGGAGTGGACCCAACATTCCCCATGTATTAACAGCCTCAAAGCGCAAAGCGAACCCTGTATTTTTTGAAGAATCTATGATCGCGGCATCTAAAGTTCTGCTCGGTGAGATTTTGGACGCACAAAGCGCGAGAAGGCGTGAATGCTCTAATGGAGCAGAGCTTCATGCATCGAGTGATAGTCGACAGACTGGTGCTTTCCGTCCGATGGCTGCGATACTGCGGCGTGGGATGCAGTCACGGTAGTTGGCGATGATTGATCCGACACGCTTTCAACCGACTCTGCTTTACCTTCAGCCTCGTTTTCTTCGTCGTCCTCATTCTCCTCTTCTTCGTCAGGTTCCTCTTCACTTCCTTCTTTAACCTCGAACGTCTCGTCTTCTTCACTGTCTTCATCCTTACCCGCGAACATCAACTCGTTCAGTTGGCGATAGTCCACTTCGTTGCGTTTGCGTTTGCCGCGGACGATGAGCGCCTCCGAGTCACCGCCGTCTTCATCATCACTGTCCTCAACAGCAGCACGGTTGATGGCAGCCTGAGTCTTGCTGCGTGTCAGAAGTTCCGAGCTATCATCGCGGTAGTCAATGCGCCAGCGCGAATATCTCCCTTGAGATGGCGGCTCCAGTGCTGCAACGACGCCGAGAATCACTTCACCAGTCTTGGGGTCGATCTTGGCTGCAGGCTCACCGATGAGACTCACCTTCGTCTGAGCGGGCTTGGGTGGTAGAATCGCACTCTTAGACCGCGACGATCGACTGTTAAGTGAGCAAATAATGAGTCAGACACCAGTCAGCGGGTTCTAATCGCTTGGTATAACGTACTGGTCCACGTCGATAACGTCGTCTTTGCTGAGATAAAGCAAGTCTTGAGCGCTCTCGGGGACCTCTTCAGCCATTTCTACTTCATCGCCTGCTTGTTCTGTCTTTTTCTCTTTCTCATTCTCCTCATCTTCATCTTCGTCTTCGTCACTTTCTTCGTTTAAAACGAAGTCTTCGTCGTTCTCTTCTTCGTCATCTTCATCAGGGGTAGTTGCACTAGTCGTCTCCTCTTCCGACTGAGCAGAGCTACTGGCATCCTTTGTCGCTTCTTTAGCCTGAATGAGCTCCGGGAACAAGTCGTCGACGTTCTCGTACGTCGTCCCAAACACCGAGTTGATCGATTTGAGACACTCAAAGACGGCTAGACACACTTCACAGAACCAAGGCTCTTCCCCTGCCGGGATCTTAGCAGTCAGCACAACCGGCGTCTGACATTTTTGATGATAGGCGCGATGACAGCCAACACTGTCGCAGAGCAGAATGTCGTTGTCTAGCTCGACGTCGGTGCTCCCACAGCGAGAACAATGCACGTCTTCGAACACAGCCATGGGTGGCACTTGGGGTTCGTTCGCGTACAACGCCGTTAACTCTTGCAGACCGTCAATAAGCGCACGTTTTCCTTTCTCTATCTTGCGGCGCTCTGCGTCGAGTTCCTTGCTAGGTTTGAGCTTGTCAAGGCTTGACTTATTCCAGCCTTCACCTTCGTAGGCATCAATGAACGCCAAAGGATACCGCAATCGATGTGCCTGAATATGGATACACATTAGTCACCGTTGTGCTCTGGATACGAGGTTCCCTGGGACTAACCTGCGACTTGATCTTGTTCTCCAGTCGCTTGTGTTCCGGACGAACAGGACTAGGAGCCGGAGTGGCATTGTCGTCTGTCTCCAGACCCGATTCCTTGGGCTTCCGAGGTTTCCGCGTTGGCGTATCGACAGTTGGTGTGAACGCCGCTGGAGCACGACGATCACGTTGCTCGCGTGGTTTCACAGTACTGCAGAACATTGAGTAATACCATGAATGACGGAGTTCTACACTTTGTGATTTCTTTCTCGACCATCGAGAAAAAGTGAGGTATCTTCATGTAGGATATGTATCGTACATTGATGGGCGACGAGCTGAAGCCGGCGGCGCATATTCGTCGTCACTCTCCGATGACGAGCGAGCTTTCTTGCGAGGTCGAGGCATTGTTCTCACGTTGAATCAGTAAGATGGGTTCGTAAGTAAATAGCACGAATGGGAGAGTTTGTGGTGTCGACTGTCTGTCTGTCTGTCTTGTCTAACAATATAACAAATTTAGTAAAACTTGACAGACTAAGAAGAGTGAGACCACTGCTTTTTTGGTAGTGTCCACAGTCTTACCTACCGATACCAGGTAGTTCCAAATTGCAGTAGTCTTTTGGGTTGGTTCGTAGGGGGGAAGACTCGAGTTGGCGTCACTACTGCACCAGTTGATGTCGTCGACCACCCGTGCAGTCGATCGATCCAGGAAAGTCAAAAGTTGGTGGATTCAGTGCTCACAGACCACTCAAGTGTTCCTAAACAGAGTGGTAACTAAGTCTTGCCGGTGTCTTGGCTCGTTGTCTGGTTGCGTGTTGAGGTGGCGAGACTGACTCAGTGGTTCTACACAATGGCAGCCCCTGCTTGTTCGTCTCTAAACTAAAAACCTTGCTGATTCAGTGTGTCAGATTGTGGCTAATTCTCATTGGTGAATAATCAACTTTTTGACCCTTTTCAATTGGTTGAAAAAGACCAAGCAAATACACCTTCAAAGGTTGCAGACTGTACCATTGCTGACTCTTGAGCATCCTCGCTTGAATGGAATCGCTGTCCGACGAGCAGCGCGCGCTGTTCGCTGATGGAGGGCAGCTAGACGACTACGAAGTGCTGAAACCTATTGGGAAAGGAAAATTCTCTGTGGTGTTTAAAGCCAAGCGACGGCATGATGGTCAGGCGGTGGCACTCAAGAAGATCGCCATTTTCGACATGATGAACCTCAAAGCGCGCGAAAAAACGCTGAAAGAGGTGCGTGTAGCAGTGCTGCAATTGCAATCAGCTGCAGGCGCATTTCCTCACAATGTGTCGATGCTGTTGTACTGCGGTATTCGACTCTGTAGGTGCGTCTGGTGCAGTCGGTCAGCCACCCGAACGTCATTCAGTACCTGGATGCATTTGTCCAGAATAATGAGCTGTACATTGCGTTTGAGTGGGCAGAAGCAGGCGATCTTAAGCGACAGATCCGCAAGGCCAATGAGAAAGGGGTGCGCTTTGATGAACGCACAATATGGAGATACTTTACACAACTCTGCAGTGCGATACTGTACTTGCACCAGAACCGAATAATGCACCGCGACTTAAAACCAGCAAATATTTTCTTAACACTGAAAGGAGTAGTGAAAGTTGGCGATCTTGGGTTGGGTCGATATTTAAGCGAGAATACGATGGAGGCTAGGTCGAAAGTGGGGACGCCGCTGTATATGTCACCTGAAGTTTTGCGTGGAGAAAGTTACGATTGGAAAAGTGACGTGTGGTCGATGGGGTGTATTTTATACGAGCTAGCAATGCTGCGATCGCCTTTTAAATCGGAAGGGTTGAACCTCGTGGGGTTGTTTCAGAAAATTAATAAAGGCTACTATGAGGAAATTCCAGCGGTCTATAGTGAACATCTACGCGGAATTGTACGACGAATGATCTCGCTCACATCGTCTGACCGACCGAGTGTACAGGAAGTGTGGGATTTTTGTCGAACGCGACCATCTAGTGCGATTTTACAGGACCGGAAGCGAAAGCACCAGGCTGCCTCCCAAAGTAATAATGACGCTACTAATAAGGATTTAGAGACGCGCTCATCTCGCTCACGGAATAGTAGGAGCAAATCCACACCCGAAAGCGAAACTCCATCGCGTCCTTCTTCTTCCGATCAACAGCAAGAGACCCCGCCACAATCACGTCCTCCATCCTCACAAGGAGACGGCAGCAATGGAGCAACAGAAGAGACAATCAAAAGAAGACATGTCGAGGCTCGGATGGAGCTTCTTTTCGAGAAATTGAAGATCTTGAGATACGAAAAAGTCCTCAAAAAGCGGATATCTCCCACACATTTCGCTTCGGATCTCCGGACCCTCCCCAAAGTCCTTCCCCAATCACGTTTTGAAGATATGTGTACATTATCATATTGGCTATTATCGCTCTTAGGCGGAGAAGTCCCTACAAGCGATGACCAGAATGACAAGTCCCCTATTGTAGCTGCCCAGAAGATCCTTTTGTCAGCCGAGAGAGCAGGAGTATTCGCTGTTGCACAACTCAGCGCACCTGCACTAACCAGTGGTGTTGGAAGCGAAGTATGTGAGCTGTTAGATGCTCTTACTGCTGCTGTTATAAGTGGTGAGATGTATTGCACTACACCACCAGAATACCCGAGAGAGCCGATTGAAACGTTGGAATCGTGTGACGAACTGGATGTGACAGATGACGGACAGCAAAATGACAATGTCGGCGAGTCAACGACCTCTCTGGCGTTAGAAGATGACGATGCATTTTCACGATGGGTGGTAGTTAGAGAAGAGACTCAGTACTCTGTAATGACGGATGAAGATAGAGAGAACGGCATGATCCACAGCGATATTGACCCGGTAGCATGGGAACTCGAGCGACGACGGATGCTCCCAAAGTTACACGCAGTTCTACAGGATAAACTACAGCGACATCCGACTGTAAGCTCTTGGCGCGTACGGCTAGACCATGTCCAGTCGCAAGCTGGATTGATAGTTGAGGGTGAGGAAGACGTGCAGCATGAAATCGCCCAGATACAAGCGGTAGGTTCCGTAGTGGCTGCAAGTGCATACCCACTGTAGACTCAAAAATGAATTTTACAAATTACCAGACTCGACAGAAGGAGACAGAACAGTTAGAAAGATACGAGAAGATGCTGAACAAACAATTCTTGCGAGCTCGACGGCTGTACGATGAGAGCAAAGCCCGGTTGGCCAAGTCTCATGAAGAAATGCAGACCGCTCAGGTGCGTTCATTGTTTAATTCGACTTGGATTGTTCTTGTCTGTACATTGCATTTACGTAACCGGTGTTGTATCCTTGTAGGAGAGTGTAAATCGAGCTACATTGGAGGTAGTGAGACTACAGGCAGCTCGGTCTGAGCTTGCAGATGCTGTGAAAGCCGCCGAGGCGCGAATTACGGACAACTCGATGCTTTTAGAGCGAAAGCGGCAAATACGACATCTAATCGACGAGAATCGAGAACTTGGTGTAAGGGTGCAAGTGTTGCATGACTACTGGACTCGCAAACAGCAACATGCAATTCAATGTAGCCACCTTGATCCTGTTTAACAGATCTGATGAGTTGTAAATGTAGCCATGCTAAATTTCTGTCTCCGCCTCACATTTTCTGAGATTCTCGGCAAGAGCTGCCCATGGCCCCGTACACGTCGTCTCCAGCCCACAATTCTTCCCACTACGAAGATTGCTAACATGATGATACGGAGCTGGGCTTGGCGCTGCTGGAGCAGGTCGAGCCCTTTCTTACCTTTATGCGTATCCAATTTGACGCCAAGTCGCGTCTTGCAGCGTTCCAGTTCCATTTCTGCGGTGACCGTCGCTTCCAAGCCACGATGAACTTGACAGGGTCGTTCCACCATGTAGATGAGACGCCAGTTGTGCGCAATGCGTTGTTGCACATTGGTCTCTGCATCTTGCCGTGGTTCTGGATGGGCTACAACTGCAAGTACATTCGGATCGAGGCGGGATATCTCGATTCGGAGCAGGTACGAAGACGACCGCAAGTTAACTCCTACGATTCAATGTTGATACAGTAGTGCAACGTTATGACAGGTGCACTTCTGGGAGGAGTTCTACCAGAATGTGCTGAGCGAGTATCTGTATCTACACGGGTTAGATCGCGATCGTCTGCATATTATTGTAGATGCACCAGCTTGTGAAGCTCTTCCAGTGCTGCCGGACAGGAAACTAGAACAACACGGCAAGACTAAAGTTCTCGTCCCACTGTAAGTGACTTGCTGATAATCGTCGAATTTAGTGACTGACTTTGTGACTCTATTGTTTTATTTTAGGGGCGGTGGCAAGGATTCACTTGTGGTGTATCAGTTGCTGTCTTCGAGTGAAACGCCCTGTGCGTGGCTGCATGTGGGCGATCGTCCACAGGAGTTTGAGCGCAGCTGGCGGTTCAAGGAGATTGTGGAGATGACGCAGAATCGTACCGGTACTTCTGCAATCCGCTTCGAGCACGACATGGATGACAAGACGTGGGGAAGGAAAGTTGCCGGCACGCGATACCAACCGGCAGGTCATCCGTGGGCAGCTCTGGTGGCTTTTGACAGTGTCCTCGCAGCCATTTTGGGCGACTTCACCCACGTTGCGGTGGGCAACGAGTGTAGTGCCAATTACGGCAACAACGTCATACATGAGGGCCGAGCAGTCAACCACCAGTACGACAAGAGCTTTGAGTTTGAGACACGAGCTCACGCGTATATCCGCAAGTATTTGGTGCAAGATCTGCACTACTTTTCGGCACTGCAACATCTGTGGGAGGTCCAAATTGCTCGCGCATTTGCGCGTCGCTCGTTGCAGAGCTCTTAGAATTTCGTTGCCGTTTTTTTGAGCTGCAATGAAGCTCCTGGTGGCGACAAGTGGTGCTGTAAGTGTGCAAAGTGCGCGTTTGTGTTCATTCTCATGAGCGCGTGGTGCTCGGAAGCTCAAGCTGCTGGAAATTTTTGGTGAAAATTTGTTCGAGAAGCAGTCGATGTTTCCTGAATTTCTCGCACTGCTAGACGAGGAAGGTGTGAAGCCGATTGAATGCGTTGGAACAGCTTGCGAGACGTGGCTGTCACTGTATTTGGCGCTGCAAGCTCACGGAGACAGCACGTTTTTGAAGTCTCATGAACAGGAAATTCGTCAAAGGGGAAAAACTCATGCATCTCTTGGACGATTACAACAGTGAACATCTGCTCCCAGAACACCTGGAGCCCACTCTGTGTCAGCCTGTTATGATGATGCTGGGAGCTTAGACTCGAGTGATAGTTGTCTTGAAGAAAAAAAGTCTATCTTTGACATTTGTGTTAACAGCAATAATTGCTTGAAAAAAGAAAAAAAATGAACAAAACTACTGAGTCACCGTCTCCAAGTACTCGGACACTTCATCGTCACCAAGCGCCTGTGCCATAGATAGCGCCGTCTCGCCGTCGACATCCTTAATATTGGGGTCCACACCCTTGGCAACGAGCATCTTGACGATCTCAACGCCAGAGCAGCCGAAAAGACACGTCTGTCCACTCTCGTTCAGGGCGCTTAAGTCAATCTTGACACTTCTAGCGAGAAGTTCCACAACCTCTTGCATCTCGAACATAACAGCTACGTGCAGAGCGCGATCCCCTGTTGAAGGGAGTGCGAAGTTGACGTCTACATCAAGTGCCAGCATCTCCTTGATCACACTCAAGTGGCCGAAGCGACAGGCCTGGAACAACGCGCAGTCATCGTCCTCTTCATCGTCATCGTCGTCACCAATTTCTGCACCTACTGAAGGAGTCGTTACTAGCTTAGTAGCTGACTCAATGGCACCGTTCTTAAGCAATAGTAAGGCCACAGCCGTGTGTTCCGACTCGACAGCCAAGTACAGCGGATTGGAGGCGTCCTTGGCTGTGCCACCGTAATTCACGTCGGCCTTACGAGCCACCAGCTCTTCTGTAAGCTCAAAGAGTCCTGAGTTAGCCGCCTGCATCAGTAGCGTCCAGCCGTGACGGTCTACCACGCTGTCCGGGTTCTTGATGCCCAGACGCTGCAGCAGTGCCGTTGCCACCTTGCCGAAGCCCTTCATAAGCTGTTCAGCCTCGGCCTCCATCTCGGCCAGGTCCTTCTCCGTCTCCGTGGGTTCCTGTCCATCCTCTGTTTCTTCCTGTACACCTAGGACGTGTACAAAGGCCTCGTACTCCTGCTGCCAAGTGTGCAGCCAGTCCATGAGGTATACGAGAGGGGATTTGTCCCCGATATCACCAGCGGTGGCAAGGAATTGCTCCATATCACCCGCGATCACGCTCTGACGCACAGCATTTAGCTTTTCGTCCACCTGGACACCTTCGTCACCAAGCGACAGCGTTGACACCGATAGTTCGTCTGCACCTGCCATTGAAAAATATGAAATGTCATGATTGAATGGCTCACATAATGTCGAGCCACGAAATGTTTCTTTAAGGCAGAAAAAAAGTGGTCCACACTGCAAAGCAGAAGCACTCACAAACTTTACACCCCAAAATATCGGTATTAGTGTGGTATTTGAAAGAAAAAAAAGTAGCGGCACTCAGAGAAAATGATGCAAGAAGCATGCATTGTTTAAACTTATTTCTCAAAAATGTCAAGACACACCGGTTCGAGCATTTCGTATGTAAACTTGTCGATATTCACCTCCGATATGTGCTGTGGTGTTAGCGCGCTCAGATCTTCCTTGCGTAGAAATAACGACACGTCGTTTGATCAGAATATGCTGTAATGAACCCCTCCATTACATGAGTAGGTAGATCTCTTTTCAGAAGTAGGTTAATCAGCACGCGACTTAGCGTGTGTTGAACAGCTGTAATTCCATTGGCTGACCCGCGTGCTTCCGCTCTACTTTCCGTGGGCCATCCTACAGCGCCGTGTGTCTTTACTCTGGGTGGGGAAGAAGCTGGCGACAAGCCGTCTACTCCAGCTCCGGCGTCCCCGGCGGCAACACCGGTACTGGGTCAGCCGGTACATACACCAGCTCGAGTGCATCCCCAACGACGCGTCGGCTAGCGCAGTGACACGCTCCCAGGCTAAGAAGATCTTGACAACACCGTGCAGCACGTCGTCCTCTCTTACAGCTTGGACTAACCGTAGCCTGATCGGCCCCGAAGCTGCTTCAATCACACTTGCGCCGAAGCAACCGGCGCGACCAATCGACTTTGCAGTTGTCTGTACTACAAAGCCAAACGGTCACCCGCTCAATTCGAAGCGCACTGCAGGACGCAGTGGACAAGCAAAGAGAGCGCTGACAAGGCTGGCCGCAATCACACGGCCACATTAGCGACACGTAAATGAATGCTCCTGTCGACTGATGGATTCAGAGCCTCTGCTGTTAGCAATCTTCGCACGAACAATTTCGCGCCGAGCTTTATTGGGCCGTTTACGGTAATCCAAGGTCATTCGTGACGCCTCTAATTTGGGCATTTCTACGTCATTACGTCTGCATCCGACGTTTTACGTCGGATGATTCAAGAAGTTTCACCCAGCTACGATTCCAGAGTCGACTCAACTTCCTGATTCGAAGCGTGTCTCAAGACACCGTCTCGACGCGCACGTCGAGACATCGATCCATCCGTAGCCGAGGTCGAATCGCGCGGCTGAAAGCGACTGCGAACCGACCGCTCCGCCATCTGGAGTCGAGCAAGAATCTTCCGGCTCGACTGACAAAGCTGCGCACTCTCCCGGGTGGCCCGGACAGCCTGATCCAGAACATCATTCAACTCCTGCCGGTCATCTTAGTAGGGGTTCAACAAATGCCTTGTCCCGCAGTATTTGGTTTCGATAACCAGGTCAGGTCGCATGATACACGCCTCGATCTGGGGATAGATCTGTCGGTGATTCCTGCGAGACGACTTCTCCATACTCCTTCACAACAGAGTAGAAGGGTTCCGAAGGATCGCCAATACACTTCTTGCGCTCAGTGCCTTCTCAGCGTCATCTAGGACTGCGAGATCGACGAGCACGAGACTGCACTGATGTTCGAGTTGTGGGGTGCGGAAACGGTGCTTGTATTTGGGGACCTTGTATCAGGAAATTGTGGCCTTGGGCTGTGTGTTCTTCCAAACGATTAAGCAGCTCTTGGCTTCTGCACTAGTACTGGTGGCAGTCCTGATGGTGCAAGAGGAGGGATGAGGCGAAATTCTCCACCTCCAGGTGGAGAGTGCCCGCGATCACGCCCTAATAACAGTCCTAGGTTCAAAGGGTTTGGTCTTTTTGCTAGGAAAATTATCGTGCGCTGACTGGGAAGCTCTGGGTATTATCGAGAGTATTGCGCTTTCTCACTGTTGAAACCATTCCCTAAGTCTTACATAATAAAAGTTCGTTTCAATAAGAAAGATAATTGGGACTTAGTGCGCAACCGTGAAACTTGGCTACACATAAGGTTGTTTAAATTTCGTTCTTATCCGACTGGGCCAACATTCACCCATTCAAGGTTTCGCACTTCATTACATATTGTGACCGTTTTGTGTACAAGCTGGTAGTTTAAGGTTGGTGCAATATTCGCAAAGTATGTTTTCGTACATATTTTACGGAGGGTTTGCGATCCTGATTAAAACTCTAAACATATATATTTAGAGAGTAAAAACGCAACTTTCTTTTTTCTTGGGGGGGGGTCACATAGCCCGGCACCGACATAGCTAAGTAAAAGGAAAAACTCATGGCCCAGCCCTGACGTTTAAACCTGATGTCCTCAGATACCAGATAAAAAAGAGATTAGATACCAGCTATGGCCTATTTTCTCATCGCCTCTAAGTGGAAATAAGACGAATAAAAAAGAAACCATCTGTACTCAGAGCTCCCGGTCCTATGTCCACGTTTGCAGAAGAGCGCTCACCGCAGCTAGCATCGAGACTACGCTTCTCTTCCTCGAGCATGTATCGTCCGCTCACTGGACCCCGTCAAAGCTGACATCGCCCTCTCGTTCCTGCACAAGCCCTAGGTCCAAAAAGTGAAAGCATAATTGGCGGCATGAAGACGTTAAGACGATTGTAAGCTGGGTTACTCTGCGCGGGCAGAGAGTCGTATCCTGCATGTAAACAACATTTCAAACGAGAACTAGTCGCGTTTAAAACATACCTCTCGGCGGATCGGCTTATGGGACGCGTTCCAGCCACTTTAGTGCCATGTTAAGTGGTAAATCTGTGTGCAATGGCTTCGCTGCTCTTAGAATTAAAACACTGCCCTGTACTAGCACATTTAGTCATTGTTGTATTGTATTTAGCCTTCAGGTGGGCAAAGTAGCGGAATGTAAGTCAACACACGTCGGAGCATAACGATATATTATTTGCTAATTTAATGTTGCGGCTCAACCATTCAAAAAATGTGTCTATACGCTTTATTCAACGCTCACTTTCAACAAAGGCGATGACAGATTCGACCGACTGTCCTCCAATTATCAATTTACGTATGTGTTTGATAACGCACAAGCTCCTGAAATAAAACTCAGATGCTTTGGTTGATGGTCTTCACTTTGTCCCAAATGTTTCCTCTAGGTGTAATATGGACAGCTGTTAGCTAAATCATGATGCCACTCATCCCAAAGTTTGCGTGTCGCCACAGCCGTACGACTCATCGAATAAGTTGGTGCAAGCTCACGATTCAAAATCGATGACTCACTGTATTATACTGCATTTAAATTTGAGCTCGCCATTTGCGTATTGTCGTGTTGCGCTGTAGGTCCGTTGATTTAAGTTTTAATCAGGAACAACTCTAAACGACATATTAACATGAAGAAACGCGGTAACGTCATTTTGAGACTTTTGAACCAGCTATGGCATGGCATGATAACATGAATTTAATCTGAACATAGCTGTGTTTTTATCGGTTGAACTAGTAGAGACATTGCGACCTGAAGCTGCATTTTAACTGGGTGCTCGGCGGTTTCAGTGGAGGCAATAATCTGAGATCGGTACAGCTCGAGCTGATCGCCAAAAAGCTTATTCTGATGAATACGAGAAGGGACCTGATCAAACAGAAACGCTGCGTCTTGGAGAAGTCAGTGCGTTAGTAGCTTAATAATTCTAGAAATCCACGCACCGCCAGATTTCACTCCCACACTGCTTTAATACGTTGATTTGTGAGCGTCTAAATCCGGAAAGATTCTCGCTTTTAAGACATCTGGCGGCTCCAGGACTGCGCGCTCGAGATAATACGGTCACGAACGAGGTGGTTAGCAGGTGAGTGCCCGCATAGCTACCTGTGCGTGCGGAGCTGCATACACTGCCTCCACTGTGTCCATGCCCCATCTTCTGTGTCTGCGTGTCTGCAAGATGCCTACGGCTGCACATTCTGCTATAATACGGTGTACAACCGTATGTAACCACGACGGTATAGTGCCGTTTTTGGCCGTCCGCTCTCCTGATGGTGCTCCAGCGGAATAGATGAGCGTGTGGATGGCTGGAATAGCTGGAAGGAGAAGAAAGATAAGAGTACAATGTAGTTAGCTTCTTCTCACTTTTAAATATACGACGGATTCTCTACATCAACTTAGAGTACAGGTGATGAGCCCAAGTATTGATGACGTCGCCGCTGAGTAAGCCCGCGGGCATCCGGAAGCAGACTTCGGAGGCAAAAGGATCGATAGCAGCCAGTACGAAGTCATAGCGTCGCAGTGCAGCGGGGCTGCCGTAGCTTTAGCGTCAGAGGAAGACGTTCGACTCAAAGAGTCACTAATACTAAGTTCCTTATCCAAAGGAACTTACAGCCCAAGACCAGGGCTCAAAGTTAATACCTTAACTTGTATGCTTCAAAACCAGAAGTGTTTTATTTACTATTATTGCGGCCAAGCCGCCTAGGGGTAAATGTATCTCTTTAACTATCTAGCATAGTTAAACCTAATCAAATGCATAACGTGTGGCTTTCAGCCAACGTACTGAGAGACCTTGCTAGCTCTCCAACTTATGTACTGAGAGTTTGTTAACTCTCCGGGTACTTCGTACCCCTGTGTGTTCCACACCATCTAACCCCGTTACACGCACGCCCCACAACAGAAGGTGGTGGATCTCCTCACCGGCCTCGCAGAGCGCATGGAGCGTCTGGAAGAGTCGGAGCAGCGACAGGAGGTGAAGCAGCGCTTCGTTGGACGTGAGTCAAGTGAATTCGAGTCGACCATAGGCCTAGGAAGAGCAATGGACCGAGAGGCACTGGACCCAACGCCACCACGGAATTCTCCTGGAATGTCCCCAGCCACATACTTTGGCGTGAAGCAGCGTGGCTACGGTTTTCGAGAACGCAGCAGACAACGTGAAGATGACCCAAGCTCCTCAGCCAGCGCTGTTATAGCACTGCTTGCCACGGTCAACGCTCCATGAGCCGTCAACAAGAAGAGAGCAAAGCTCAAAGCTCGTCCGAGCCGCGGGCGCCGCC